AGTGGATGCATGGCTCTAAACTCAGGGGCTGTTCTGAAGACAAAACTAATTTTTGAAAAGTTTCTATAAACTCCAGGAAATCTTCATGTCCTCATTCTGTTATTACTTTACAATAATAATCCCAAACTGGCCTGGGAGCTATTACTCAGTGAGCACTGGCCCCTTGGAAGGTTTCAACTTGTCAAGTTTAGCCATTTTTTGAGCKCACAGAGGAAGTCATTAAGGCACATCAGGCTGCTGATTGCTATTAAACTCTGCAGAGACTCCTGTGCAAAAATCAATGCCATAAYAGGGCTACAAGAATCTAAGAGGCGGGAAAAGCATTTCTTTACCCTCTGGTAACTCAAAAGTGGATTAATAGACTTTGTGAAACCTCAAAAAAAAAATATCACCTATAAGCTAGGGGCCAAATGTAAACCTCTGTGACAAAATAATAGAGCTCAGAAAGCTCCAAACATGTGAAAATGGTTTTATAATGGAACTGTCACTGCTGTAACCTCAACTGTATGTTTCTGTGCTGGGGAAATCTCACACATCTGCACATCTACACATGCACGTGCTTATTTATTGTATCCCGAGGAACACCTTTTTTGCCGTATTGCCACTGAGGAACCCAGAGGGAAAATGCTTTTTTAGTAAAGTATGATCTTAGATAGCTTTTGGCAGGAAAGTACTACAAGAATTTTCCAGATGAGTTCCATCTCAGCATCAGAGAAAATGTTATTTAAATAACTGGATGGTTTTGACTGGGGGAGGGAACTGCATTGAAAAATGCAACACAGTTGCAACAATTGCTAACAGTTGAAGACTTTTGTAGAAAGTATCTCTATCCTGGGAAAAACTAGTTAAAATCATAGTAGGAAGTTTCATTGTAAACACATACTGTATAAACCTGGCAAAGTCCATTGTCTTACTCTGGAATGTTTTAAATTCCAACCATCCAGTTCTCTTCCCCCACAAAGCAAAGTGAAGACATTCAGTTCAATTTTTATCACGAATTTTGTTCAAATTTTGATTATAAAATGATTTAACATCTTTTTCAATTTGATTTGTTTTTATTCTTATATGAACATAATTTTTTTACTGTTAYATTCTATTTGTTTCATTCTATCATAGGAACATTTGGGTTGGAAGAGGCTAGGAGATCACCTCATCCAACTTACTAATCAAAGAAATTGCATTTTACATAATGCAAAAGATAAAATGAAGCARTCCATGTGAACCAAATGCTTTTTTCCATAAAACCAGAGAAGATCTAGTTATGGGGTTTCAGAGCCTTTATAACATTGACTATGGCAGCCTTTCTGCTCAAGTAAATACTAGTTTAWCACTAGCTCTGCTCATTAATTTTAGAATTTTAGATTGCATGTTTTTATTGAAAAGAAGGTTAGTACTCTTCTCTTTTTCTTGTTTAAAGTACGTGGAAGTATCATGTAGGGTTGACCTCCCCTAGGAGGAGGGCTGAGGGATAGGGCCACAAGCACGTCCCTTCATGGTGGTTGAAAGGCCCTGCTAGGTCATGGTCTGTCCCTTCAGCTAAGCCCAGAAATGAATTTTTAAAGAAAGAGCATGAAGATGAGCCCCCTCAGTGTTAAGGCTCAGGACAGGCAAGACTTAGGACCAAACCAGCCAGCTTTGGTCCAGGTGAGGCAAGTTTTTCCCAAAGTTCATCAAGGCTGCAATTGTCGTGAGGAGTCACCACTGGCCTCCATCCATGGCAAGCACACGCAGTCATGGCTGCAGCCAGCATGGCAAACCCTCCCAAAGTATCTGGACCCAAGACTGAGGTCTGGAGAAAAGGATCAAAATTTCTGTTAAGGACTTTATCAAGCATAGTCACTGGAAAAGCTTTTAGCAAATGAGTTATTAAAGCCTGTTGTAGCGTGKATGGTCTGGACTGGCTGCAGTAAGGGGCAGATTGTGGACCATTTCCCCAGCATGGTGCTGAGGAAGGAGGCTCCTATATTCTCATTACAGCAGGAGAAAATCCACTTTTCTTGCATGGATAATTTAGAAGTTATGAATCAGCCTGTTGTTTTTATTTCAGCAGAGTACAGACAAGAGTTGTGCAAAATGAGGCCGCTGCCTGTCTGTCAGGCAGCTGTAGTTTTTTACCCTGCAGCCTCTTTTAATGTGCATTCTTGGCAAATTCTGAAGAGAAGCAGTCACAACTGTGCACTCAGACGTTAGAGCAGATCTCATTCCCCAGCTATTGAGCCGGGGACTTCACTGGTGCATCGTCCCATGTCTGATGCAGCCATTAAGCACCCTGACCCAGTAACCAGAAAACTGAATTGGTGTCTAAGTTAAAAGGCACTCTAAAAATATGCTCATGAATCATCTGTTTTTGAAAGAGATTAATATTTTCTTGCAGTGTATCTASTTTTCCCAGGTGTTAAATAGACCATTTGCTGTCTGCTGGTCTTTAGGATTTTTTTAAAGTAGGTGTTAAAGGCTATTCCAGACTATCTCTACAGGGTTTTAAGGCATGAGAGACAGTTACCTGCAGAAAAATGCCCATGTCTCTCAAATAATTAGCAATTATCTGTCAAAAAAGCTTCAGAGCTGACTATAGCAAGAAAAATACTTTTCATCTTTGGCTTTTTTGCCTCTCTCCTTCCCTTCCTCTTCGCCTCACTCCCACCTTTCCCTTGGCATTTTTTTGAGCAGCCTTTTCCAAAGGAAACACTGATGAAAGTATCTTTTAGTGCCTGAGCAGTTCCCTTGGACACCTCCTCCCTGTCCACCCCCGAGATTCCAACAGACATCTGCCTTTGTACACACCATGTCAGCGTCCTGCAGAGACATTTTTTGTTCATTGTTTGTCCAAAATAAATAAGAGCAGCACAGACGATGCAAACTGGCTGTAGACATCCCACTGCTAATAACAGAGATATGTTGGTAATTGCTAATAATGATGCAGTGTTCCAGCATGGGAACACTCTTCTAGCTGCAGCTTGGATAGGGCCTGAATAAAGTGACACAGATGGTAACACTATTGCATATTTTTTTGGAGAAGAAATTGAAATTCTCCTGCGGGGGGAAAAAAAACATTCCTACATTTTGTTCCAATTATTTCTTTAATATTAGCAGCACTGGCATGCTTGATCTGTGAACTGTGTCAGTGCCACCTAAGGAAATATAAAGAGGGGTCTGCAAAGTGAGGAGAAGCAATTGTTTCCACTTAGCAAAGGAAGCACTTAGATGCTATTTGACAGAATTGCATTTGCCTCCTTTGGCAAGGATGACCCATTTTGATCACACGCAACAGCCAAACAACAGCCAATTTGCAGCAAATCAGACTTTAAACATTTCTGTAGCTGCTAGATTGATTCTGGAGTCGGGTCTCGTGTACCAGAGYTCCCACATCTGTACCTCAATTGTCTGGGAGTGCTTCATTGCATTTTGCAGGCTACAAACAGCAGGAACACATGGTTTGTGGGCCAGCTCCTGGGTTGCAGCTTCCTTTGACGCCTGCAAAGTACGTGCTCCTCTGGGAATGCCTGACATCCTCCCTGCTTACKTGCACAACCCCTTCAGCACCCTGGTGAGTCCAAGCCAGTGGAAGCACACAGTGCTACTTTGGCCYGACTGCAGCACGTTTCCTTTGAAAGGTGTTTGGAGAGCTGTGGCAGCATGTCAAAGATAAGAGAGGCAGGAATTGGTTGTATTTGCCAAGCGCCTGCCTTTGTTGGCTCTGTCCACGAGAGCAGCCACCCTCACTTTTGAACTCTCCGATATTGCTGCATGTTCATCCACAAAAATTGCCAGCTCACCCGGACCTGGAGTGTCAGGACCAGAGCTGTCCTTCCTGCAAGATTAGGTCATATCATGAGATCAAAGTCCTATTATGCCATTTTACACCACGTGGATGCAACACCAGCCAAGTTTCAAGTCCCAAGCACAGGTGTCTAGTAACTGTATGATGCACATATGAAAATTAAGCCAAATTAAGCCAAACTTAGAAGCTGGATTTCCTGCCTTTCCTTGACATTACACCTTTCTCATCCACACTTATAACTGCATTTCCAATGTGGATTTCAGAAGARTGCTGTAGGATATCTGAAACTATCCTATCTGTTGTTCCTTCACAACTTTTCATCTGACAGTTMCAAACTGCTCTTAATAAGGTCCTTTTAAACAGCTGAGAACAGTGCCAAAGAGGCTTCTTCCTGGTAAAAGGAGTGCTACCCAGTATTAACTTCCTTGTAGAGGGAACATGTAGCAGGAAACAATGTTGACATGTGAGTAGGAAATAAATGCAGGGTATTTTCTTTCAGAGTCGCTGCATAGATGGAAGTGCAAGGCATAAGCAGGAGTGATAAGCAACTGTCATACTGTCATTTAAAAATTATCATGAGAAAAATGGTGAAAAAGCACCGAAAACCATAATTTCAAACATAATTTCACCTAGTTCATCTTTGCAAAAAATGTATGTGTCCTCTAATCTGGATATGTGGGTTTCTTCTGTGGCTTATGGAGCAGAAATAAATCCCACCTTAAGACTGATCACCAGGATAAATCATTCTTTCCAGGTGCATTTATCTCTCTCCCCAGACTATCAAGGGATAACTAGCTCAGAGTATCTTCCTGGGTYTTAGACAACTATTATAAGGTGAAATAAATTCCACCCAAAATCCTCAGAAATGGCTGCCCTAAGTGGACAGGAAAGCTGGCAGACTTAGATAGCWGCTGGAGCTCATTTCTGTCATGGCAGACACAGAACTGATTGCCAACGTTGGYACAGTATTGCCCATGTCAATGAGGTAAAAAATAATCTTGCTACTGTTTTGAAATATTTTGTTGTRTCACAGGCTTAATGCAGAACAAGTGGCATAATTGGTTTACAAGAGAAAATTAAAACAAAATTAGCTCAAGACCTTTATGTTCTGCTCTTATAAAAGTGAGCATTTTCTTCAAGAACTGAAACAGTTGTGTTGAAACACATCACACGTTGATGTAGTCATAGTGTCAAATGGTGTTTGCTTAGGCAGCGTTACCTGCGGTGCCCGTGGCTTGGCTCAGAGCCTGTGGGAATGTCGGTGGGACGGGCTGGCAGACCTGTGCTCACTGCTCTGTGGTGTTCAAAGTCACTCCTGCAGAGCACAGGCACCACAGGAGCACAGCGGTCAGCGGCTGGAGATCTTCTGTAGCAAAGATACTCGATAGGACACAGCGATATGAGCAACATCCCTGGAGCGGAAGGGAATGGAAAGAAAAATAAATGCTCAYAACGTAGGCTACCTAATTCAACAAATGCAATTAATTCACTTAGACTTCCTCATTCTTCTCTCAGCACATGCTCAGTCCTGTTTAACATACGCTTGAATCCTGCTTAATATAACGTAGCCAGCAGGTGCTTACAATTAAGCACATGCTTAGTAATGTGCCTGAATTAAGGCCCAAAATATTCTGCTCTAACTCATGAACAAGACTGTTTCCATTAAGATGGAGCACTGCACGCTAGAATTTGTAATCGCTACAGACCACCACATRGACAATGAAGCACAGTGAAATGCTTCTGTTCAGAAGACTGTTCATGTGCATCCATTTGGGTTCAAGCTCAAAACTCTTTTTTAATCAGGGTCAAAGCAATGACTGTCTTAGACCAGTTTATGAAGCCCAAATCCTGAAGTTCCTGTTGCTTCAAAACTCCCACGGGTTTGAAACATGCGAACTGGATGCAGTTCATGGGCTCTTGGCTGACTGTCAGGGCAGTGTCCTTAAGTTCGTGATGTTTTGCTAAATTGTAGTGAGTGGTTCTATTTTAAAATTCAGGAAAAATAGAGGACACAGCATTTTCACTTACAGTCTGATTTGAGTTACCTTATGTAACTCAAATAGGGCAGACTTGAATACCAATAGGTTAAGTAGTAATGACGCCAGAAATTTCTTTTGCAGAGACTTTTTAGCCAGACTAAGRACACAATGTTAATCTGGGGTTGTTTCTCTTTTTCCTTAAATAATATTTTTATTGAGCAAAAAGCGGATGTCAGAATGGCCTTTTGATCAGCTAAAAACAACAGTGTCTCTAAGGGAATCTTTCCTGTTTATTGTATGCTGCTGCATTTGAAAAATGCTAGCCTACAGTAAAGCAAGACTCCTTAACATACAAGAAACCAGGCAAAACAGGATGAGGCCAAAATGGGAACTGCATATCGCAGGAACTTGGAAAGACAGGAAGTTACAAAAGAAGTAGAAATTCTCGATTAAAAGTATAATTATACCAGCTTGTGCAAGGGGATAATGACTTTCAAATGTCAGCCTTTGTGTCTGTTCATAATGATAAAGCTATTAGACCATATGTACTGTTCTTAATTCCATTTCTCACGGCAAGTCATTTAGGATMTATAACTATTCTGTCCACTAAAATCTAGAGTATTTCTTCAGCTGCATATTCAAACAGTAGATTAAAAGGAGTGCTAACTAGAGCAGAGCCAGCTAGGACTCCTGCACAGYAGCTTAAAACACATTGGAGATTCTGTTATTAGACCCTATTTTCAAGGATTTAAGTATCAGACAAAAATCCACTCCCTGGATAAAAGTCAACCAATCAGTGAATATTTAAACTCAATTTGTTAAAATAAAAGGGCATAATTTTTACACTTTGGAAATTTCATGTGTAAAAAAGAATAAGCTCTTCAAATATTTTTTGTAGATCTGTGACTGAAAAGTAAATCTACTTCAAAAATTACCTCAGTGAGAAATTAACCCTTAAAGCAGTCAGTGGTTTTATTATTTCAGAAAATCAGTTATAGTAGAGATGATAGTCACAAGCAAGTTGCACCACTGAGCTTGGTCCAGCCCTGGCTTGCAAATGGAAAATCCTCATTTGCTTCAGTGAGAATTAGATCAATGCTAACTTCCTCCTCAGGAAGTTGAAGTCTGGAAGAAAAACTAAAGGCTCAGTTTGACAATCACAATGCTTGTTACAATTTTCACCTATAACATCAGCAAAGTTACCTCCAAAGGGAGGAAGACAAACACTGTTGGTGTCAACGCGGGTGCCTCAGCCTTCCCCAGCACTTCGATCAAAGTGTCAGTGCTTCTGATCCCAGGCCGTGGGATGGTGCTGATTCCAGGCAAAGCTGGAAGTAACCAGTTTTATAATTATAGGCACATGAAAACAGGAAAGCTWTAAAATGAAGTGCCATTACAAGATGGTTCAATGTTTTTGGAGGGGATATATTATCAGTGAATTGTGCAGCAGCTTCTGCAAGCCTTACCCAGCACATGATATGTACGGACTGTTTACAAGATTTTTACACATGGTGGTTTAAAGAGGTTTGTAACTTTTATACTCATCCATCCAGTTTATGTATTTTGCAAAAATCCCACTCCAAAGGTCAGCTATGTTCTGTCTGTCTCAGCAACTCCAGGCCTAGGGAAAAACGCTGAAGGTAATCTCAGCATGAAGTAGTTATACAAATGTGCTTTTAAACATGGTAGAGATGGCTTTGTGCCTTGTTCTCATATATCTTAGACTGTGTGTCTCTTGGCTTTACACATCATTTAAATGAGAGCACTGTTTAGCACCTCTTTCACATTCAAATGATATATTTGTGCTCTTTTGTGTGGAAATGTCTGTATATTTTCAACATTTYTCAGTTCATATGAAAGCAGACAGGAGCAAACCAAGGAGACAGACAAAGATTATGTCAAAGTGGCTGAATAATACTGAAATGATCATGATGCATCTATTCTTCTTTTCAAAATCGTCAGAATAAACCCTTCTTTCCATTTTCAGCTTTCAAGCAGTGGAAGGAAATTTATTTCCAACCCTTCCAGCCTGACACTTTGCTCTTGGTGTTGGGTGCCCATCTCTGAGCCTTCACGCCTGGAGGCCAAATCCTATACTSCTTTTCCTCCTTATCTAACAGCAAAACAGAATACCTTCTCTTTTTSTTGCTACATCTTATCCATATAACCAAATGGATCCCATGCTTAGTAATAAATTGCCGATGAAATTATGCAAACACAACCACTTGCAGGTGAAATTAGGCAAACACAGCCACTCTCATCTGACTGATTCATTTTGCGGGTAAAAAGCATGCTTGCACACAGGGAAGTCACAGATCAGCTTTTTTTATCCTAAAAATCACTGTGGTTGGGAAGTGTTAAGTACCTCAAAGTTGTTGTCCTGTATGTCTTGGTTTAACCTGGCAGGAAGCTACACACCACAGGGCTGCTTGTTCAGTCCTCCCCCCACCCAGTGGGATGGGGTAGAGAATGTGGGGGAAAAAAGTGTAATTTATGTGTTGAGCTAAAGGCAGTTTAATAGAACAGAGATGGATGGGAAAATATAATAACACTAACGGTAACAGTAATAATAATGTACAATGCAAGTGATGCCCAATGCAATTGCTCACCACCTGCTGAACAATGCCCAGCCAAGTGCATGCAGCCCCTGGCCAGCTTTCAGTATTGTTTATGTACCAAGCWTGACAAYGASTATGGTCTGGAATATCCTTTTGGTCACTTGGGGTCAGCTGTCCCAGCTGTGTCTCTTCCCAGTTCTTGTGGCTCYAGGCTATTTCCTTGTCAGGGGATGTGAGAAGCTGAGAAGTCTTTGACTCAGTATAAACACTGCTCAGCAACAACTGAAATATCACTGTTATCAATATAATTTTTATCTTAAATCCAAAATACAGTACTGTGCAACCTACTAGGAAGAGCATTAACTCTATAATAGTCAAAGACAGGACATTGTAGAAGATCAGTTATAAAAATTCAACCAATAGYTGAATAATTGAATCTCTCATTCACAAAAGCAATATGATTACAGAGGAACTATTATTTATATAATGTTTGATTTGTGATATATGTGTATAATCAATTGCATATTATGTGCTTTTTCAAACATCTGCTGTAGTTTATTGTGAGTCTATTCGAGGATATCTAATATCCAGAAAGAAATGATGTGTAAGAAATCCATTACCTCTTTTCTATCAGGAGAGCCCTGTAATTCAAACAGAGGGTATCTTCTTTGTTATATCAGCCTTCTGAATTTGAGCATCTGAGTCTTTCTGCTGAACCATCATGAAAATACATTCATGATGGTTTCATGCCTACCATAATACACCTGCTTTTTGATCAAGGAGGCAGAGCAGCTATACAGTACGTGAAAACTGGCCCAGCTGTAAAACAGACATTAGTTCAAAGTCATGAAATAATGCTCTTAGAAAAATAAGAAAATCCATGTCGTCAGGTCAAAATCACAAAATTGTTGTTTTCATCAGCTAGCTGGTAGTACCACAAGCACTATTTCTTTTAGGAATACAACCCAGGATATGGATTTCCTTTGCTCCTGGGAGTCTGGCATACCTGCTTCAGAAGTAAGTTGTCTGGTTGCTCATAGGATACACAGAGAGGTTTGTAMTTCCTGGTCTTACGTGAATTTTGTCAAAGCGCCACAGTTTACGAATTCCACGTTGTTCACTAAAGGAAGAACACTTGAAACAACAATTCTGCTGCAAGGTATAAAAGCAGCTATTAAATATACCTTCTGTWACATGTTTATAGGTGCACTTGGAGGACTTGCCTCTGGCTAGACCTCAGCGGGTTAAATTGCCCCCACTTAAACTAATGGAGCTGTGTCAGTTTTCAGTTTTGGTGGAGCTGGAGCAGCGGGGCAGGACAGGATGCATATCCTAYCACCAGGATCAGGAAAGCTCTCTGAGAAAGACTTGAACATATTTTCCAATTGCRGATTTCAAATTGCTCTTCAAGAGCTGAGATTGTCCACTCAGTAACATCTTTTCCCCTCCTGACAGCAGCACCTTTGAGCTGCCATGCTCTCTGCTACCAAAGTGTGAAGAGTTTTGCTAATTGCCAGAGAGGAGAGTGTGGTTGCAGAGTGCRAATTTTGGGGTTCCCTGTTGGGTAAGGTGTCTGTAATGGTTGCTGCCCAGGACAGTTGCTGCATATCTCCCTTGGGGCTCCTGGTCTCAGACACAACGCAGAGTGCTGGGTGTGYTTTTCCTTTTTATTTTCTTCTCAGCCTGAAAAAAGTTCTATTCTCTCTGTGGGAATTTAACTTACATAGAGACTGTGGGATCAGGGCTGCAGCTTACTCTGTTATACCTAATTAACCCTGGGAATTCATTTCCACAACACAGAACTAGGCCAAGTATATAGGTAGCTTTACAAAAGAAAATTAAGGATTTGCAATGAAGACATGGAATATCCACAATTACATTTCAYATGATACAAAATAATTAAGGGATATAAGCCATAATGGTTCATGGCACAATTCAAGTTCTAACAGATGGGGATACGATGAAATTTACCCATGGGAAAGTGATTTTGTAATTGTAGAGGTGGGTGTATTCCATTGACTTCTGTATTTATTTTAGATGAATGTTTATATTTGTRTAAACATTAAGGAAAAGCATCATTCTATAACCTCTGGGTATTTTTACCRTTTCTTTAAAATACAGAAGTAATTGCTGCATACTTCTTAAAGAATAAAAGGAAAAAAAATTAAAACTCTTGGTTTTCCCCACCCACACGTTTCTCTTCACTTCATGTATCCCAGCCCTCAGATTGTCCCTCCCTCTGCAAAAGCCTGGGAAAAGATTCACAAGCACATGTGAAAAATGATAGTTTCACATGGCTGTAGTAGGTTCACATCCTTATTATGTAAATGAGTGGTTTTGGTTTRGGCGTCTCTTTTGTGGTTTTTGTGCAGATGGTTAAATACTTAAAGACAGTGGGCCAAATTGTTCCTGCTGGAATTTCACTGGCTTTGGCTAAACTACACCAGGAATCTAAATAGGCTATGGAACCAAAATCTATTTTTGAATATAATGAAATAGTCAAATGGGTAATGGGATTGCTGCACAGTAGCAGAAAGGAAGAAGCAGCCATGAAGAGATTTCCCTTTGTCTGTTGGGTAATTAATGAAGTACCTGGAGAACGACAGATCTGAGAAGCTTCACTTTGCTCCTGTGATCTGCACTTCCTCCAGCCAGGTAAGCACAGAGCTGTGTGTGCTGGAGACTGATTAATTAGCCCAAGCCAGTTGTAAAATCTTTAGGAAACAAGTGGTGTCTGTTTTCTTCTGCACAGGATGCCAAGAGATGTGTTTAAAGTGTGAGAGTCAAAGGTCAGTTTGACATCACCTACTCTAAGAAAGAGCCCTTGCTTAGATCCCTGTTTCGTGTTAGAAATGCTGTCTGCGAGCCGTGAAGTTATTGTACTTGATAAGAGAAGGAGTAGGATTAATCTGCAGCAAGGAAAATTTAGGTTAAATATTATGAAAAATGTTGTAACTGTGAGATCACTTAAGCAAAGTAGCARGCTGTCAGGGGAGACAGTCAAGGCTGGAAGTGACACTTTTCTATCAGTGCTGGTTGGGAGAATAATTAATAAGCATTTCCCTGTGAAGGGGGAGTGGCACCCGGCTCCCCCAGAGGCTTCTGCCAAACCAAAGGAGCCGACGGATCTCACAGACATGCTTGGAGCTAATGCTTATGTACAGAGAAAATGGAGCTTTCTGAAAGGACTTTCCCAACCTCTTCTCAGCTTGTGTTACATATTCTAAATGTAAATTGAATGCAAATACTTTGAGCTGTTTGCCACAATGCAATTTGCAATCTCTGACACTAAATCCGACCCTCTGGAACTATAAGGGTCCATAGGGTTACAACAGGAAAAAGGTCTGCTCCAATCTGATTTTTTGCATCCATTTAATATTTCTTTTCACATATTTATTGTTATTGTTTAATATCTAAGTTTTAAAGCAATGTCTTCCTCTATGGAAGTTAATGAACGTGTTAACATTGCATTCAGTGAGAAAATGCATAAGCTAGATGTGTGGCTCAGGTTCTGAACATTYTGCTAAGTTTTCTATCTTCAAATTTTTCAGGCTTATCTGCTTGCACTGAACCAGATAAGATATCTTTCTTTTTGTCTTTGCTCTGGAAAGATAAACTTTGTAATTTCTTAGCATTATATCCATGTGCAGCAAATTGCAAAACAAATGTATTACCTCTACATGATTTTGGGGACCTAGTGAGTGTTGAATTCATTTTCAAAATCAGATTATAATAGGTTAAATCTCAGTCCCTAATTTGTCCTGACAAAATTGTCAACTCATCTTAACAAGGGACCAAGGAATTACTACCTCGATAATAACAGAAAATCTGAACTTGGCAGTTTTATAGATTGGTCCATGTCTAAAAACTCTTAGAAAAGGTTGCTCTCCATCGTCTCGAGTGGAGTAATGTTTCATAAAGGCAAATGTTCATTTTGTCCCCTAACAGGGGTTTTGGCAAAGTGAAGGGAGGCATAGGCAMCATGGTGTTTAATCCACAGCTTTCTGTCTGCTGCACCCTACAGACCCCAACTCAGGGAACCAGAAAGAAATCAAAAAGCTTTAAAAATGTCAGGCAACAGGATCTCATTTAAATTATTAGGTGAGATGCCCTCTTGGGTTTGACAATAGCAAAACATATCACATAGCCTGTTTTCTTCTCTCCCTTTATGCTGATTTTCACAGGCTGGCGCAATTGCATGTAGAAATTATATTTCTGCTCTCCAGCATCACTTTGGACACCATTTGAAAACATGTTTTTGTAAAACAGTGTTATATTCAAAGGTATTTGAACAATGCAGAAACTGGAGGATTTGTAACAGGTTCTTAACCAGTATTGACTGAAATAAAACTTATTTGACAAAAAACCTCCAGAAACCTGCCTTAGGTGAAGCTGATAAGCACTTTGGGAATATAAAAAAGRCTTATCTTTAATTCCTTAAGTGATTCAGCTTTAAGAATTGTGCATTTCTAATTCTACATACATATGCTATAAGGTTTTCTTGAATTTTCAACAACTGAAATTGTTAAAACCATATAAGCAGAGAATATTTTTTTTCCTTGTTATTTGGATTGGTTTTATTGCAGAAAGATAGGTACAGTTCCAACCTGATGTCATACTGCGGAACGTTAAAACCTTTTTGCCAAGCTCTGTGTGTAACCTCTATGCTGCTAAATCCTTGTGCCTGAATAGTCTCACTGACGTCAGCAAAAGCAGGGCTGCACAGTCTAATTCTTAAAATAAGCCATGTTCGTATAAATTCTTGCTGCTGTCGTTTTTATCTCAGATTTTGTATGGTGGAGCATATGGCCTGAATATGAGACTGGCTGAATATTAAAATTCTCTGGCTTAGTGAGTAATTCATGTTTCTCAGTCGTACTAGTAGTAGATAGAACTGATTTAATAAAGCTACAATCAGTCAGGACTTACATGCTTTAAATGAAAGAAATACAAATAGAAGGTCATCAATATACACATAATTAATGATCACATTTAAAAGCAGTTTTAACCATGCCTCCTAATCATGTATTTGCATGCCTGTGTGTCTGTATGAAGGATGGGCCAAAATAAGGGGAAAGAAGATTTCATCACTGTTCTGTGTTCCTTACCTCTGTTAATAGGTGTGGGATTCTTTTGCAGATTAATGCAGATATAGGAAAACAGAACAGGTCTTTTAGGATTCAATTCATATGAAACCATGTTCACTTACCTTATAGTGACTCCCTGATTTTCTTCTCACAATCATGTTGGCTAAATGCAGATGGGCAGGAGACTGCAAAATTGAAGTGAGCAGGACTTGCACCCCTAAGGATTAAAAACATCAGGAGACAAAATACATGTTGAAGAGGAGCAAGCCTTTAGGTGTAAAGGACGCTGGTCATACTGGATGAAAGGCATTTCACATTCAGAATGCCTCACCACAGCAAAATGTTTGTTAATGTGCTCCCATCCTCTCTTGTTGCCCCAGGTATCTGAGACAATTCCTACATGGCAAATGGAGGGAGAGTCATTTATAACGTGACAGACTCATGCTAAGGCTGGCAGGGAATATCTTTAACCTCACCAGTCTTGACGTGACTGAAGAGGCTCGAGATCTGTATGGGAGACAAGTCTGAAAATTAACAGCCTCATTAATCAAATCACAATGTTTTGACAACTTCATGGTGTGTATGCAATCTATCCTGTGTACAATTTAGCTAAGGCTTTTATGCAACAAGAGATTTTTTTCAATAACTTCACGTGAAAAGACTCCACCTCACAGCAAAACCTCAGGATTGTGTGCTGATTATCAAAGAGCAAAAAAAGCATAATAAGATGAGATTTAGACAGAAAATCCTGCCAGGATTATGAAGGAGGCAACACACCTCCTTTTTTCCTACCCTGTTTTACTGACTGCAGTATAATCACCATCATTGCTTATTTAGATAGTCTGGGGGAAAGCTAGCCAACCTCTCCCACCTGAGCTCAGGTACAGGAAATTCTCCTCTTCAAAGAAGAAATCCTTTGAATCCATTTGCCCCACGKGTTTAGTCAAGAGTGAAACAAGAGTGGATAACCTGCTGGGGCACCCTACCATGACACGCCAGAGCATGTCCCTCAGATAACCAGTTCTCCAAARCAACAGGTCACTCAGGGTAATTCAAAGTAACTCTGGCTCCCTCAGATGTCAAACAATCATCTTCTGCTTAAATACAGACTGTGTCCCAAATCCCTTGTTTTTCAGTCTCCTAGTAAGTGCCTGCCTTAAGGAGCTTAGGGATACACAGTTGCTTCTTCTGCACCTGGGGMTTTATGCAGAAGGCTTATTAATACTTCTGAGTATTAATTGTCTAAATCCCTGCACATCTAGGCAAGGCTACATCAGTGATTATTCCTGGGTTATAAAGAAATGTTGTTGCTTGTTATAATGGGCTTAGTAGAAGAAGGTTTGATGTAGTGGCAAGGGTAGCAAAATGTTGTATTTCACTATGAATGTTTTGAAAGGGAGACACACTAAAATATGTAGTATTTTAGGTCTCTCTGTCCTTCTTTCTCATTGTCCATCTGCAAGGATAAAAATTTGAAATTGAAGCTGAAAATGGTTAGAAGCAAGAATGAAGAGCTGTCAGCTAAATATATCTATTTACAAAAGATGTATTGAATCACAAAATTAGTGAYGGTGTCACTAGTACTGTGTCCACCTCAGTTCATCCAGTGCCTTCAAACTCTTTCAGGGAAATATCAATATCTGATTTTCCAATCCAGAAGGCTGTGGCACAGGGAAGTTAGCTGACAATTGGCTTCACTTAATAGCCGTGGCAGATGAAAAGAGCCTGCTTTCAGCCTTCCAGTCCAGTCTGCCCACTCTCTGCCATCAATTCCTATCTCTCTAAATGGCCTAACTAGGCCCCATCACACTGGGGAACATCTATGCTCACATTGGTGGTTTGAAATCTCAACTCTGTCTAATCTCACAGCTTTATGGCCCTGCTAACTACTGTGTGAGCAGAACAGAGCAGTAACAAACCAGAAAGCATTCAGCTGACTGAACAGGCAATCCCTGGGCAGTCCAATTCCTTTCCAGGGCTCCTGCATTCCCAGACAGTGGCTCTGATGAAAGCAGAATGATTCCCAGCTTCCAACCTGCCCCAGGTTGCATATTTGCATCTGCACTGCAGTCAAAGACGTGACTGCAGCATCCATAGCAGTGCCAAATTCTTACCCAGTTAATGCCAAGGCTGTGGTGTCACAGGATTCATTGTTCCTGGTGGGAGCATTCWGCATTGAGCAGAGTCTATGACATTATTAGTACCTCAGCCAGTTAAATAAAAACAGTTCAGACATGTGTTGTAATCACATCTCCAAATGCAAGAGCTGCAATTTTTGGTAGAGTTTATCACTGCTCTGAGCAGCACCGTTAACAAGCAGTGCTGTGATTTTCCCAGAGCATAGTGCTGCATAGAAACCTTACTCAGGTTCTTTCCAGCTGACATATCCTTTTGTTGCTGGCATGAGATGTGTTTCCATGATCCTTATCCCTGTGGGGGAAAAGGAGGTAATCCTTCATCAGTTCGTCTATTATCCCTCTGCTAGTTCTGATTTTTGTGAATTCCCATGTRGAATTTTTACAGGGGAAAGGGAGGTTTGAAATATTTCTCAGAGTTGTCTGGTTGGAGTGGTTCCTACATTAGCCATGCAGCAATCATGTAAGGACAGAGGGCACTTTGTGGTATCTTTTTCAGGAGAAATGTGCAGTAATTAAGGAAAAGCTGAAAAAATGGAATATTATATGCCAAATGTGTGAAAATTCAATGCAGCAGAGCTGTTCTGCGAATCTGGTCATCACAACGTGTTGGTACTGAGTCAGGTAGGATTGTGCCTCTCCAATGGTCTGTTAGTCTCTGAACATCCCTTTGTTCAGAGAGAAAGAGGACTGACTTTACAGTGCCCGTGAGACCAAATCCCGGTCAAAGCTAATGAGGAATGCGTACTTTTAATTTGTTGAAGGAGTTTTCAGCATGTTTCAGGAAGGAGGAGGGTTTTTTACCATTTCCCCCCATAATAAAAAACAGGATCCTGCATCTTGGAATTGTTTACAGTGTAAAAAAATGAGGTTATGTTACACTGTAAAATTTTAAAGTCAGACTAGCAGGGAMACCTAGGCTCAACAGCATGAAACTCACAAGCTGTTTAGACAGGAAGGGTTTGCACTTAAAAATTATGAAAATAATGTTTCAGTCTGAGATGAAAACAAGTGGCTTTGACACAAAGGTTGAGACTTTTCTGGCTGCAGACCTTCCTGTGCCAGATGCCCACAGTTTTATTCAGAGGAGGGGCTGAACAGGATGCATGCACCGCCCGGCTCAAAGCTGGGTGTGCTGTTGGTTAYTTGGGTACTGAGAGAGTGAACCCCCAGGTTTCTCTTTCATTATTACACTGCAAGGTGGCAGTGTCTGGCAGCACTGCTGGCCAGGGAGGACAGCTCCAGAGGTGCCTGTGTGCCCTGCAGCCCAGCACCCTGCACACAGCACCATGAACATTTGCAGCCAAAGGAGGCTGTGCTGCCAAAAGGAGTCCCCGAGTCCCTCTGTGCAAGTCAGACATCTCTGTGAGCCTGCTCTGGAGACTTAAAGTGAGGAAAGGGAAGGTGCATTATCTCATTTCCTTCCCAGACTTCCTACTACTGTTTTGGGCAATTTATACCTTTAAGAATGCATAAGGCAAACAAACCTTGCTCTCCCTGGTGTGTGAAAGCCTGTCTTTTGCATTATTAAACCATAAAGGAAAGCCTGGCGTTATCTCGCTCGGATTCTCTGCACGTACAAGAGGATCCAGCCCAAAAACATTTCACGGCTTGTCTGTCTGAGTTAGTGTGCTGCTTGCCAGGACTGAAGGAGGGGAAAGAATCAATGCTTAATACCACAGAGTCTTACACAGGTTGCTCTTGGATGTGCTTATCACTACTAAGTAGATACCTACTGAAAGTGTAAACAAAACAAAAGCCATCAAACCAGGATTTTATCCATTTAATTGCAGAGTAAGTGTTTTCATCATATTTAAAGTGGTTTATTGCCTTTCAAGGCTTGTTTATTGTAATTAATTAAAGAAGACTTAGAACATCACTCCCTTATGGGTTACAAGAGGAAAGAGGATGCAACACCATTGTTGTTTGCAATTCATTGCAGGTCCCCTTGGTCTGTCAGGTATATTATTATAGGTCCATGTCACACTGTTCATTTCTCTCAGTAGAAAGCAAGGACAGAAGCCTGACCCATGAAGTGCAGAAGACATATCAACATCGTTATCCRTACTTTCTTGGACCCAGTAACAGCTCTTTCCTGAAGAATGTCTTTTTCTTGATTRCAGCTGTTGAAGCAGCCTGTACTAGAATGGGAGAGTGGTTCTAGGAGGACATTACTTCTGACCTCAAAAGCCACAATTTCTTTGTGAGTGTTTTAGTCCTGACTTAAGTTTCCCACCACCCTGATTTCAAAGGCAGGAGTCATCTCACAGCCATTGAGCCAAACCACATTTGGCCATTTGAGTATAGGTCTAAATGCTCAGCAGATTAAAGTGAGTATATTTCAAGAAGTTGCACGGATGAGGGAGGAAAAGGAAGTAGAAGGAAGGCAAACTCGGTCCCATTTAATGAATACTTCCTTGACATTTGTGCAGCTCCCACTGGGAATTTGAGCTAGCACGCATGTATGCAGTGTGGTCCCAATTACTGAAGCCCATGAGCTGTGTATGTGTTTGTATTGTGTGTATGTCCATTACCCTGCTTGCTTTCACAAGTATTGAACACCAGAAGAAAACTATGCAAAAATTTTTAGCAGCCACTTGTGAATTCTGGTCGGTTTTCCCCTTAGTTTTCCATTTTAAATTAGCATAGGGCAATGCACCTCAGATGCAATGCAATGCCRCTAAACGCTGTAAATTTGTACCAGAGATGATGCTGATCTGCTGTGCACATTTTCCTTCCTGTAAGTCATTATCACATGCCTCTCTTTCTAAGAAAGACATTTTTATGAGAGGTGGATCGCTGGGGTGGGTTTTTTTGCATGGCTGGTTTGCCCCAWGTCCCAGCTCTAACAATGCAGTTTCACTGGGCACTGGGTCATATGGCTGACCTCAGCTAACAAGCTGTTCCTGTTTTGAGGCTACTGGGAATGTTTATTGGCCACTGTTTTCCTCCTTTCTAAACACATAGTTATTTCTCAAGACCCATATAAATCATAAGGTCACAAAACACATAAAAACTGTGACATTCTCTGTGATACAGGATACAAATGAACTAAATTCAGGCTTAGCAGCTTTAAACATCTATGGTATATTTTATYGTAAGATAAATACATTTATTTGAGTTATATACACTTTTGAGCTCTAGGAGACACAATTAAATGGCAATAAAGTTGCCCAATGGGACAAACTTTTATATTTTGATGTTTCAAATTGGCACAGTTTAACTATGARTTCGATTACATAAACAAAGTACCATAACTCTGAAATTGAGTTTAAGAGAAATAGTGATCTGTTTGCAATAAATATTAAGTAATCATGTACTTTATAAGAAAATTA